CTTCTTAACCATTCTCCTGTCATTCTGTGATAGCCAAATTAATGTGCCTCTTCTTTCAGGCTTGGTTATCAGAGTTCCAATTGTTTTAAACTTTATATTAATCTGTATTAGTGCAGATCGATCATTTAGTGACTTTAAAAGCCTTCTCATCTTGAAGACTGGTCAAAGCAAAAGGTTTCTAGCATCTCATACAAGGTGTTAGATCAACTCAAAAAAGACAAGTTAAAGCAACACTGTGGAATTTTTAGCCACTAGGGGCAATAGACTAGGTTTAGCACCCCTGAAAACAACTTCCAATGCACTGTGGAAAAATTAAACATTTTTGTAACCTGATAGCAAACCAATTTCCACCCACTCATTGAAAAGTCATGGAGTTACTTTTAAAGACAAGACAGAGTTCCCTACTGTGGAGGGAATCCAACATTAGTGAACCAAAAATATGTCAGTTCAAGTAAATGTTTTAACTGTTCTGTTGCCTAACACTAACTATGTTATTTTTAGTGTTTATGGGGAGCTCAAATTGTCGTAAAGTGGCACTTTAACTCACACGATCCAATACTCTCAAGTTAGGTGAGATTTTGAGATGGTCAACGCACACAAAGCCTCAATTGGTGCCAAGTTACAGTATGTATATTGACCAGATACGTATATAATTTAAGACGTAACAAATCAGACTAATTCTCTGGTCAAAACATTAGCAGTGTTGCGTTTTCTCATTAGAGAAATATTAGCTGTTTTGTCGAGTAAGAGATGCACACTTTGAAAACTGCTATATGGTAGATTTAACATTTGCATAACCTCTACCCATAAATTTGTGCAGTTTGGTAATTAGAATATGATATGAATATTGATGAAGACAAACACCCAAAAAAAGGTTTGCACACTCTGAATTGCAAACGCAAATCACTTTGCACCTTCTTTTAAGGTTTCCTCTGCACTTACAAACACGTTTACACCTGTTTTAAGATACCGGAAACTACAAAGATCTGTCCCAAAGTGCAAATTTGCTAATTTAAGCATTTTGGAGAATAACTATTAGATGGTAGATTAGAATTATGGTTTGAATGGGCATTAATGGACATTTCTGCTGTGTTGTACATATGCTCCCTTAGCTGTCAACAGGTGCAATTTTTTACCCAGATATTAGCCTAATTTTCAATGTATTACATTATTTATTTCAGGCCAATGTGTGGCACTTGGCTCATATCAATGCAGCATGTTACGTCAGACATCCTACGTGCTCGTCCCCATTTTCACTAACTGGTGGTGAGTCTGACAAAGTGGAAAAATAGCAAATCTTCTTTTAGAAAGTAAGCATGTATAAGCGATGCAAACAGCAACTTTTTAACACAGTGTTCACAAGGAGAATAAGGCTCTTGCACGCGTTTAATAGGTGTTCACTCTCAGGAGCGGGTACAGGGTTGTGCATATGCATTTTTTTTTGGGGGGGGAGAGGGCAGGTCCTTTCAAAAATTTGCTAAAATTCTCGACTATAGCTTTAAGAGAGTTTAATCTTTGAACTAGTCATGTTACTACTTTAAGGTAGTCTGAGCTTGCCTTAAATTTAAGCGGGAACCTCCTATGCTTCTGTGTGTTGCATAAAAAAAAACACCAAAATAGATAGGACACTTTTTGGTTTTCTATCAGGTTCAAAACACAGAAGGAATTTTTTAATTTTGCGACAGTGCTGTGATTCTGGTGGCCTTCAGGGTCGCTCAATCTGGAAACTACAGGTCTAGAGCCTCAAGTGCTTAACAGTTACAGTGCTGCTTTAAGGCTTGGCTTATATGTCTATGTTTCAGTTTAGATTTTTTACACATAATTTTAATTTCTAGCGAACAGGAAAAGTTCCCTTGCCAGAGTGTCTTTAAGTGTGTAAAAAGAACTCTGCTACCCTTTCTTTTTAAAGTCTTAGACTTATAAAAACAACGCAGTCATGGTTTGGTAACCAAAGGATCCTTTAAACTGCTGTTTGGATGTTACAAGCAGCCCGGTTGATTAAACAGGCCAACCAGCTAATCTGTTTAACTGAGCTTGTTTGTTATAAGCAGAAGAGTAATCTTCCCTGCAAGGGGCAACATCATATTTTGTGTAGTATTTTAAGCAGCAGTAATTGTTTTAGATTTTATGTTTCTTGAAAAAGCAATAAGTTCCTGTTATTCATTTTAGTTTTAATAATTTTGAAATAATTATATTAGAAACTTAAAGTCTAGGCTTTTTATTCAAGGTTATTTCACCACCAACAGCCCTTCCTGCATGTGGTATTATAAGCCATTTAATCACATAAATACTCCTGCTGAGAATATTTAGTAAACATTGATCCTGTGATAAATGCTCATAATAGTCAATTTAATGACCCTCAGCCCCTCCGTTAATTGATTGTCAGGTTGAGGCACAGTATTGAATAGTGTCTCAGCAGCACGACACTGTTATTCTTTCTTGCTCTTTTGAGCCAGAGATCTCAGCCCCGTTGTGTGCAAGATTTATGACCCTGGTCTTAAATCAATGAGGACTCTGTGAGGGGTTGTAGCATTTAATGGAAAACTTTTTAATTCATCTAGATTTTCTTCCTTTTGGTTTTTCATAAGGGAACACTGTTTAGCTAAAAAATAATGGTTACAGCTGTTGCAAGAAAATATGAGGTGTAACTAACTGACTTTCATGGTGGAGAAATAACCAGCTTGTATGATTGAATCTTCTCGACGGAAGAAATGAAGCCTTGGCTGCAATTTTGTCTTTGCACCAGTACTGCAATGACAAATCCCTGTGCATTTATTGCACTTGGCAATTAGAGCTTTTTTTTTCCTTTCTTTGATCTGGTACTGATTTAGTCCATTTACGATTTTATCTTTTAGTTGCAGAAAAGCTGAAGGATTGCAGAGAGGTAGGAGCAATATTAGAAGGCAATGCTAAGGACACAGTAGGCACTATGGCAGAAGGAATCAATAGTGCATTGTTGTTTCACTGTAGGCAATAGACCTGGAAAGCATCATAAGACACTGATTCACTGGTAAATACATTTCAAGTTATTTCACTGCTCCTGGGTGAATGCCATGCAGAGAAAAAAGCAAACTTTCAGCAACGATGTAAGAAAATTAATATATGTAGCCAGGAATGTACAAAAAATATTCACTGCATAATTAAGAAGATATATTTCAGTTCAAAAAGAAAATGACACCAAAATGAACATTTTCTAGGTTTCTTTTACTGAATCCTTATTTGATTACAGTGAACATTTAAATATATTTAAAACAAAAATTCAAATTTAAACCCTTTATTATTTTATTTATAGTAATCAGAAAATATAAGGACATGTTTAACGTAAGTTTTAAGGCCACAAATCTGATAAAATTTTTCTGATTTTCAGCATTTCAAAATGACAGTTAAGTTTTAGAGTATTTCTATTCTATTTCTTTCTTTTATTTTACTTAACTTTAAGCAATTCTACCAAACATATGTTACTGATGAGGTCAATTTATTCACGTGTAGCTCGTTTAAAACAGGAGTTACTCTCCAGCAGTAAAAAACTGTATTTAACAGAAAACTAAATAATAATAATTATAATGACGTTTCTTGTTTCTAAGTTTATCATTTTTAATATTATCATGTTATTAAGTACAGAAGGATTTACTTTTAAAACATATTCCACAACAACACAAAGAAGGTACAGTAATAATCTAGTATGTGGGGGGAAAAGGTACTGTATAGTGATGGAAATCAGTAATGATCATATTAGTAAAATAAACAAATATAATAAATTAAGTATGTAATCGGGAAGGAAATTACACTGAAGATACTTCAATTTAGACTTAGACAGATTTATTTGTCAATTTGTTTACACAGGTGTAAAACAAAAAGAAATTTGGTTTAGAACAGCTCTTTGGAGATTTTTATTTTTTTTAAGTGCAGCCTTGAAAAATAGTAAAAAATAAAAAATTTAGTATTTTTCTAAGTCAATGCTTCTTTGTACTTTTTAAGTCAAGATAAATAAAATCAATGTTACACATCACTACAAAAATATGATGATATATTTACTGGTTTAGTTCTTCTTGTGCCCATATAAAACATGTAATTCTTTAGCAAACTTTTTTGTCTTTCTTTTTTTTAAGGGGATATATTGAGGAAAATTTTGGAAGATTGCAGGGTATCTCTTTTTTTATTTCACGCACCAGAGCGGCTGTTTTTCATGCAGACATTTTAAAGCAGTTTAGATGCTCTGTATCTTTCCTTCTTCTTGTTTTTTTTGTGTAACTAAGTGTGTTAGCATGTGAGTAACAGAGGTAGTTGGGTGGGAGGTGGGGGGTTGAAGGGTTTGCGGCGGCGGTGGTGGAGGGGGGGGGTTTGTGTTCAGTATGGCCGCTAGCCTCTTTCTTGTTGATCCTCAGGAGACCATCTGTGCTGGGGGCATTGATTAGAGTGTGTCTGGTGGGATTACATCTTTGCTGTTGCCATGCCAACTAATCAGCTGATTTTTCCCCCCTCTCACTGTCTATCTCTCCACTCTCCCTCTCCAACTCCCTCCCTCTCTCTCTCTCTCTCACTCTCGCCTGGTTGTCACAGCAACAAAATACGGGGAAGCGCTAGAGCCCCTGCAAGAGCTGGATTCAGCTAAAGGGGCGAAATAATGTTTTTTTTTTTCCTCTCTTCGTTTCCCCCTCTCTAGCTCTCTTCGTCTCCTCCTAATTGGCAACTCTCTCTGACCTGAAGTTCTTTTGTCTCTGGTGTAAACACACCCCTCTGCAGATTACATTTCATTTTTGCATTTTAGGGGCCCAAGGATAGATTAAATATTGGGATCAAAATAGCTTGAAAAGCTCTTCATCAAATTCTAGAAACAAGTCAAAAATTTTTCAGTAAATTTTTTTTTTTATTAGAACCATGCCTGAACAATAACTGTTTTTTTGTGTGTTTTTTTTTTTTTGTTAGAATTATCTGACATATGCCTTACAGTCATTAAAGTGCGATCTTTATTTTTGTTCTATTTTGTTTTTTCTTTATAGGTTTGTACAGAGGGTAGGTTAATACTGGAGTTCGCCTTTGATGATCTGATGAGGATCAAGACATGGCACTTTACTATCAGGCAGTATCGGGAGCTCATCCCGCGCAGCATCCTGGCCATGCATGTAAGTATCACCCTACTAACGCACAGCAGAAGGTGGAAAAACAGTAATGATAAAAAGCATATGACCCACTACAGATTTCTTCTGGTTTTACTTAATAATATTTCAAATCAAAACAAATATTACAGTATACTAAGTTAAAAATAATATAAATTAATGCAAAAGGCCGATTTTAATAGGAATAAGTATCAGAACAAACCTGATCCTTTATGGAAAAAAAAAATATATATATATGCATTTTACATGTACTGTAAAGATACTATAATAGATTGTGCCACATTTAGCAGCAATGACTGCAGACTAACATTCATGCTAACTGACAAAAAGTCTTTAAGATCACTTTGAATAAATTTCGTCTCTCTGCTATTTATAGAATAGAACGCAATAGAATAGAATAGAATAGAATAATTTCATTGTCACTATATACAGTGACATTCAAAGCTCTAATTCCAGAATAAAAGAATAGCAATATGATATATTATAATAGCTTTAATTTAGACAAGTTAGAGGATTATGAAGTCTATGATGAAAAAACATCTCATTTCAGTTTAAGATCAGACCAAACAAAAGAGCCAAAGACTATTGGCTGAGTGATGACGTACTGTAGCAGCATGGCTGTAGTCGGCGCTGTGCTAAGATCCAATGTGGTACTTTTAGCTACAAAGTGTGTTCCTAAGATAAAATTACCTTTCCCTGGTAGACAAAAAAAAAAAAAAACACATCCCCAGATGTATCCCTGATATTTAACAACTGATGGATCAGAAAAAAAATGTGTTGCATGTGGAACATTATTCCAATAGCTGAGTAGAAAGCATTTTCTCATCAGCAACAGCCAGTCATGGTGCTGATAATGTAGCATTCAGTAAAGAAGAGCTTTAAATAAAAGCGGACATATAAGAGTAGAACTCGAGGTCGTCTCCACTGACAGCAAGCTCTCCAGCGATATTATGGTGTGTGTGTGAATTGATTAGCTTTGTTTTAACGGAGCTGATCTTTCCCATGATAAAGGTTTGGTTTCAGTGTTACCAGTGTTGTAAACGATTACGTATAGATAAGAAAAGATTAGAGCTTTAATCTGTTTTTTTTTTTTTTTTACTAAAAATGAGAATTGCAAAATAAACCAAGCTTTCGTTAAGAAACAAAACTGAGAGAGAAAGGAAAAGGCAGGATTGACTGTTGACTACAGTATCAACAGTGGTTCATCAAAAGTTAGATGTTCTAGAATTTACTTGGGACCTGTAGTTTGTATTTTAGAGCTACCTTTGTGTTGTTTTGCCTTTCTATAATTTGTGAAAAAAGTATTTTAGGCCTTGGTTCATTTGTCTTCTTTAAAAGTTAATCATAAAAAATAAAGGAGTCAGTGACAGAGAAACGGTGAAAGAGACAAGGACTAAGAAATTGGAGGATGCAATCATCGCCTTTGTTTATGTGCATTTAATCTCTTGCAGTTGCAATAAATTGTTTTTTTTTTACATTTCTAAAATCTTATGTTGACGAGGTTTCATGAACTTGAGAGAATAATTTTCAGTTGTTGTGGACTTTCTTAGCAGCTTTGGAGAGGTTTCATTGCTGTTAATATCAATATCAAAATTAGATCTTTTAAATGAAATATAACAATTCTATTGTGATATACTGTAAGTATACCTGTTTTGCTCATGTCACCCAGCCATAAAGCTGACAATTTGTACAATCCAAGTATGGATCATGGCTTTAACTGTGATGTCCAGTTAGCTCATTGCAAAGTTTTAGAACAAGGAATTATGTGTTCACTTCAGGGATCTTTAGTCCTGGTGTCACATTGTCATTGTTTAATATTGACATTTGTTCTCACAGAGCTATGAAGATGCAGGCATATTATGTATGTGACTTTGTAATCAACCAAGCTGAGCTAATGAGGTATATATTTCAATATGTCATATAACATGACTAGGCACCTTTGAAAGGGTTTAGTGGTAAAGTTAAGTAATATGAAAGAATTTGTTCAATACATGGTAAAGAAAAAAAACAGACTGATGAGGAAAATAAGATCTCTGTCTGCAAAAATGTAATTCGAAAGGTTACATATTTTTTAAATTCCATTACACGGACTGCATTACTGCGACTGCATTGAGATCAGAGTTTAATGAGAAATCCACATGATGCCCCAGATATAAAAAGTGAAACCATACATATGGTCAAACTAGCCTTCAAACCGTAAAAGAGTATTTTGTAGGCGTTTCAAGGGCCAATAGAAGACAATAAGAAATCTTTACTGTCCCTCATTTGGTAGAAATTCTGTTGTACCAGCAGCAACGAAACAGGCTAATCAGAGCATTTGGATTTGCACAAAGGTGGAAGAAATAAGAGCAAAAAGTAAGAATAAAAAAACATGGGCAAATTTCAAGTAATAAAAGCAAACATACTGTGCAGGTGATAAAAATATCATCCTCACATGCAAATAAATGTGCAACAGTCAGTTAATTAAAAACAGATCTTTGCTATATGATCTTTCTAGAAATCATTAGCAGCTATTTAACTAAAACCAATGATATTTTACATTTTGATCTCATTGATGCAGGCACCAACATCATTTTCAGATCAAAGCTATAACTGAAATCCATCCCGATAACATTACCAAATCACTTAACATGGCACAGTTGCCATTAGTGCGTGCTTGCATTTAGGTAAAGTTTGCCCTGGTTTTAATACAAAAGGTGATAACAAAGATCATAGATTTCAATTGGTCATGTATCTAACTCAATGCTGGAACAGCTAATAAATCTAGCAAGTGAAACACAAATCACACAATTATATTTGGATTCATATCAATTTTCTTTTTATTTTGCTTTAAAGGAGGGAGTATAAAAAACAATGTTGATTTAAAGGTAAAGTGGATGCTGTTCTTTTTGCGGATGGATCATCAAAATAAGTGGTTCTCCTAATTGTCGATTATTCTGGTGATATGTTTACGTAAGACCGTCCTACGTCTTATGGTTCGTCCCCATTTTCACTTACCCGCGATGAGTTGGACAAAGTGGAAAAATTGCAAATTTGGAAAGTAAGCTTTTATGAGCGATGCAAACAGCAACTTTTAAACAGAGCGTGCACGAGGAGAAATGGGCTTGTGCATGCTCTCGCATGCATTTAATAGGCCTTCCCTATCGGGAGCGAGTACAGGGTTGTGCATGCGCATTTTTTAAGTGGAGAAGGAGCTTCTTTTCAAAAATTCGCAAAAATCCTCCACTACACCTTTAATTGTTTTTGTGGCTCCTTCCTTAAGCCAGGCTGTTGAATCTATAGTTGTATTCTCAAATCTTGGCCTAATAAAACACAAGATATATTTTCACAGAATTATGTGTCAGAAAAAAAGGTGAAATACACCTTTAAATGCTGCATGGTGGCACAGCTGGAAACAAAAGTCAGCAGAAGAAGTTCTAGATGCCGACCAGGGACTTTCTAAATGGAATTTGTGCATTCTCCCTCTTAACAGTGGGTTCTCTCCAGGTACTCCAGATTGTTAGGTTAATTAGTAACTTTAAAATTCCCTTAGCTTTCGTGTTCATGCATTGTATGTCTCTTTGTCTCCCTGTAGGGGACTGCCAACCTGTTCAGGGTAACCTCAGAGAGCCATCATGGCAACATGTGTTAGCAGTCGTTCACTTGTTGACTGTCATCCTAGGTCCCAGGGTGAATTCTTGTATGGAGCTTCAAAGAGAGGCTAACACTATTATCTTGTGCTTCTTCTATTCACCAATAACCGTGGTGTTGTTCATTTTTCTACTTCTCACCAAGCTTGATGCCATTTTAGCATTGTGTAGGCATGCTTTTTTTTTTTCTGATCTGAGAAAGCTTTTTGGTCTCACCAAAGGCAGTGGGGATATTTGATATGACAATAAGATTTTATATACTGTATATATATATATATTATGATCTGATTATAATCTTTATACAAATTTTTTAGACATTTATGTAGATTTCATGTCTGTTAAAATATTCCTATTTTACATATTCTAGACCATAAATTTCTATGTAAAGTTGTTCACTATGGGATCAAACAAGTATTTCTCACAGCATATCTGATTTGACATCACAATCTCCTGCTGACAATGTTTTAATGCAGAGCCCTTAGCTGAGAAGAAAAGGCCAATGCTAGCATATTGTGTCTTTATTATATGTCAAAAACTGAGCTCATAACTGTTAACTGTAGATGCAGATATTCATTCTTGTTAAGACATACAGACAAAGTTATTCTCTTGCTATGTAAACTCAATACTTTACTCCAGCATTCAGTCATCTAATTTTTGTATATATATTTATTTATATAATTCTGACTAATTACAGGGTTTTAGGTTTCCATTCCAGTGTAACATTTTTTGCACACACACGTTTTTCAATGTACTTTGGGACAAACGTTTTTTTTTTTTCCTATTTTTTGTACATGGCTTTAAAGGTAACAGAGCCAGTCTTGCTTTTTGCCTGAAACTTCATAAGAATTTCACTCACCGATAAATTGGCCCCTCTGGGTATTTTTGCTAATTCCTGAAGAGTGTGATATTGTGGGCTGTTGTGGGTCTTGGCCTTTTGTGATTTGTGTTTGAGTATAAGTAGATGCTTTTGATCGCTGCCACGGCGAATTAAAGCAGATACAGACACATGGGAGTGCAAACGGTAAACTTGAAATTGCAAGTTCTTGTGCAATACCAGCAGTTTTGGAAGGGCCCACATTTTTTAAATGTGGGCTCTAGAACTCTTTTTTTCTTTCTTTTTTTATGTTTTCCTCATTCAAAATTTAGCTCCAAAAATATTTGTATTTTGTTAAGAACTGATCAGACTGGCTACATGAAGCAGCAAAGCAAAAACTTTGCACCAACTTTTGCATTTATAAATACTGTTAATCAGTCTGTTGCATGTAAAACCTGGCAACTTCTGTAACAGCTACCTGGGATTGCCTTTAGAAAGTCAACTTTCAGGACTACAATTACTTTGATTTTACTAAAATGTAATGTATAATTTCCCACAATATTGTCCAATAATTCCCCAATTGTGGGACAAAAATAGATTTTCTATTTTTGTCTAACTATTGGATAACCTATTGAGATACTTAAACAATTATTAATGAAGATATTTTTGCTTGCAACAGTGAGTATTTAGGACTCTGTGTTCTTTTTTTCAACAGATTGTTTTCAAGTTATATTGGTTGCTGAAAAAGTTTAATTTAAAATTAAATGTCATTAAAACATTTTTGATTGTAACAGAGGCAAAAGAAAAATACAATAACAATAAAGTGGTTTTAGTTCCACCTTTAACAACTTGCAAGAGTTATATGTGGCCATAGTTTGGATGCTATAGCTGTGTAATGACATCATCACTTTTTTAACAAATCAGCTGCTTTTTCTAGTATGATGAAAAGGTCAAATTCTTCTAGATTTAATGCAGATAAAATCTGTTTTTTTCATGTTTTTAATTTTTGTGTTTGACCCTATATATATTCTGGTTAGTACTCTGTTCTTTGTTGTGGTGTCTCCTCTACTCCACAAGTCGGTATTTCCTCAAGTTGCTGATGCGTCGCTGTACCGATGATGCCAAGAAAAATATGTTTACAGAACATTCATCCTAATTCTGCTTGATGAGCAAAGTAATTCAGACTGTGATCCTGCCAGCTGTCAAATAATGCACAATAGTTCAATCCTGCCATCACTCATGCTGGTCTGCCGGGGGTACAAAAGGACTCCCCCGCTTCCCTCTTGACTTTCCCCACACAGAGATGCGACTAGAGATAGAATTATGCATTTTTCATGAGGCACTGAATCCAAGTGTGCTCGCTCCTTCAGCTCAGTCTGGGCTTATTTTTTGGTATGTCAATACCTCCAGCTTTTTTATGATGTGAATGTTTATCTGTGGAGCAAACAAAATAGAAAAAGAAAAATCTTCAGATTTATCCTCATAATTGCCAGCATGAGTAAAAAAAAAAAAAAAAACTTTTTAGAAGTATTCCTGTTTCAAAAGCTTAACTGCAAAAGTTCATTCTATGCATTTCTTAAACATATTCCAGCATTTACTGTTTTTGCAAAATGCAGATAAAACATCTTGCCATACTGGGTGTGTTTTAGAAAGTGAAATACAAACAGTATAACCCAGAAATTATTTATTTCTTTTTGTTTTTAGGCTACATCTTTCTATAGCTTGTCATTATTTATTTAATACTCTCTCAGCTCAGGCACGATATACCAATATCAAATCTATTGGAGAAAAAAAACTAAACAAACAAACCTCCAAATGCATTTAGAAAATTGTGAAAACTTGAATGTTGTTACTCATTTGCTTTCAAATTTGCAAATATATAAAGTAGAAAGGAAATCAGATTATGTCAGTTTAAATTTAATCCAACTATTACTAGGTGGATGTAACATGGGCTTGAGTATACATAGAATCAAATTTTTTTATGTCTCTGCTGCTGACTTTAGGCACAAGACCCTCAGGTGCTGGAACAACTGTCCAAAAACATCACACGCATGGGTTTGACCAACTTCACCCTCAACTACCTCAGGGTAAGTACCTTGAGTGTGTATATTGTGTATGTTTAGGGGGTAAGGGGGGATAAATCCCGCTTTTGGTTTGTGCAATTCTGTTACTCTTTCTGCATGAAAAGGAGATATTCTTGTCTGTTTTTATACTTAGAAAAACAAAGTGACTCATAATTTCTAATGAAGTACCATGTCTAGACTTCATATTGTCATTTTATTGTGCAGAATATTCATGCTGCGTCATTTGCAATGTTCTCTTTGTCAAAAAAATATAACATGCTCTACAAATAATTTGAAATGTTCTGCTGAGAATTCTTACATTTGCTGATTTTAAAGCACAATGGTTAATTTTTTACTCTCTGATTATCTGTATCGGTAGCTGAAATATGCACTTGCTTAGCTTCTTCTATTGAAATTTAAAGCTAAAAGGTTTTCAATCTTTATTGTTTTAATTGAATGGGTACATGTAAGGAAAATAATGATAAAGTTTATAAATAAACATATTTTTCTCAGCATTTTAACATGTATTATCATGAGATAATAAGCTGGCTGATGGTATTAGTGATGATTTCAGTGGGTTTTGTTTGTGTTTTTCAACACCACAGTTGACTGACAGGTTCAATTTTCAAATGGGGGAACAAGAGGACAGAAACGGGGAGAGGAAAGAATTAATTGGATACAGAAAATTAGCATAACATTAATGAACGCTCCCTGTTGAGACTCATAATTGTGAAATGGCGCGAATCAGTATACGGCACCTTCGCAGCTTATTATAGCCGGGTGAAGAAAAACACACAGAGAAGGAGCGAGGGAGCAGGATGTTATTTTTTTGTTTTGTTTTTCTCTTAACAAAGATTTTCCATACAGAGGACAACTCCTGCATGGCTGAAAGGGAAAAACGCTGCTAATCCTAATTTAAGCATCTTTAATTACAAACTAAAGGCTTCCTTTCTGCTTCTCCAGTAATTTGGTGATTCACAAGGTCAGCACTTAAGAAATAAAATGATTTTTATGGCTTGAGTGCAAAAAATGTGTTTAGAGGTTAAGATCAGCGTAAACTGTCATAGTGTGACTCTTTCAAACCTGAAATATCCCACCAAATCAATTTGTAAGCAGTATTTCTTAGAATAAACTTTAGCACAGTTTGGAGTATTGATGAGCATTTTTTTTTTTTACTTCATTCTGTAGCCATGCAGGATTCTAAAACACTGCATTTGAAGTCTAGAATGAACTCTGACCAGTCGAGGATCAATATTTAAATAGTTTCACCACTAAATAAACAGATAATCCAAAATAACTTATCTTTAAGCACTTCTCCGTATCTTATTAAATCCATCTTGAGGTCTGACTCTTCAGGTTTGAAACCGCTGCTTTATAGTCAACGTCTCGCACACTTTGTAAGTTATGTTTTCTGTCATTCTTATCTGGGGTTGTCAGTTTAAAATATTCCCTTTCCTCAAATTAAACAAGTAATAATATGCCTTTGGAAAAAGTTTTTCCTAGCATTTATCAGTCCTTCCAAGAGAGACTGACGGCTTCCTGGCTAAAGGGGCGACAACTTGCATTCTCCCCCACTCAAACACACACATCTTTTTTTTTTCATTTGTAGTGTCTAAGCCTTCTCTCCGTGTATTGGAGCTGCTAGCTTCCTACTATTCAGCCTGAAAATAGCCCTTGTTTTTAGGCAGAGAGCCAGGGCTTGTTGGCTGAGCCGGGGAGGGATATTACTGTGTCAGGAGGGAACCATCAGAGGAGAACACTGGATTAGTCTGCCACAGGGATGCTCACTTTACCTCTAGCTGCGTCGCATCCAAACACAACCCAGCGTCCCAGTTCACAGAAAAAAAAAAAAAAGCAACACACATCGCTATGTTCATGTGGGGTAATTTGGCTTAGGCACTTGGCTTTGCTGCTGTTAGATTGACTGGTTTAAAACTTGGAGAACATTTATCGCTTCTCCATAGATTCTTAATGTTGCATAGATGCGTCCAGTCCTGTTTTATCATTAGCTGTGAGTGGACTGTACTCAATCCATACCTCCTGTAACGGATTTCTAAATTTCACCTTTTCAAGATGGGAATAACTTGTTGATTAGAACTGACATAAGAAAAGTAGGAGTGGTGGGATGCTGAAGGTCAGATGAGATCATTTGAACATGCAAGGAATGATTAACAGTCTCCTTTTCTTTCAGTAATGACTATGAGAGTGCCCTTGAGCAACTTAGTAAACCCACGCCTTCAGTCACTGCAGCAGTTTTGACCTTATATTACAGCCTGATTAGGAGACAGCAAATATGTGGACATATTAGAGTAGTTAACAGCTGCTGGAAAACTTCATTGCACAGGTCAATAAGTCTGGAAAAGTAAAGAATGTGAGTTATTTTCAGGTTTTGGATAGGAATTGAAAAAGATAATCGAGTATATACAAATGTTTGTATTTCAAGCCTTTTTTTTTCTTTCTTTCTAAAACTGTTTTCATCCTAATAGAAACATGGACCCTTATGTGTTTTTTCCTTTGTAAGTTTTTTTTTTTTGTAAAAACTGTCATTCCTATCCAAGAATTTACACCAAACTTGCATTGACTGCTGTGCAGGTATCGCAAGGAACCCCGATTTAATTCAAATCAGTGTCTACACTCTGATTGTTCCCCAGTGCAATGCGGGTGTGGTTACTGAGGCCTCCTGAAAACAGAAAATTAGACACCAAACAGGAAAAGCTACTGGAGAATTTCAGAATAAAATCAAATTACTAACTTCAGCTTGATTTTTGTTGATGCGCCCATGAGGTCAGAGTGGCCAAATGGTTCTTATAAGCTTTCACACCCTTTCAAGTGGCGCCCACAGAATTTTCACAGAGCGCTGCTACGCAGACACATCCACTTTGAAAAAACGTGGTGGATGAGCGCCAAATATATATATCTGGAGACATCTTGCAATTTAGCCCATGAATATAACCACAATCAACAGATTAACTCTTAAAAAGAAATCACTGTCACCTTTGCATGACATGAAGAGGCTCTGATAAAGTTTGAAAAGCCTCAGGTAGTGTCCGTGTGTTTCATTTTCAACGCAGAATCTAGGCATGTTAAGCATAAATCAATCTTTATACTGATCTGACCATATTTTAAAGCACAAGGAACCTGACTATTCCCGCCTTCATGTGGTATGGTAGTAAGTTAAATAACAAAAACTAACATCTAAATTGCACATGAACACCCACTGGTTTTGTAATTTATACTGGAAAACTGGGGGAAAAAATGATATCCGAGTTACGGAGAACAGGTAAACTTTGACCGTTCAACATGGCGTAGAGCAGAGAAACTATTGTCTATGGCGAGTACTAGATTCTTAAGTGTTCTCTCATGTTGTTTGTAGCCTACATAATGCTGTGACATATATTTTTAAAAAAATGTATCACCCTTTATGTGTTTTTGAAAATACCGTTATTGTTTGATTTCAACAAATTCTCACTAACAGTTAGTTGATGCATTTGATGCATCCTGTTCTTCCTGTAGCAGATGATTTAGGAAATCTAGAACTGTCTTCCCCAAGTATCAGAACAGGCTAATCTGTGCATCCATAACAGAAGCACTGGAAGACAAAATAATTTCCAATTCACAAGTGGAAAAGATCATCTTTACCATACCATGTAAAGGCAGCATAAATCATTGGTCTCTTTTCAACCATTAGTTCTACTCGCCTCTCAAAACCTTTGGTGTGAAGTTTGATGGTGCCTTTATTTTGCTAAACAGGGAAACCATGGTTAATTTCCCTCTTAAAGATCTTTAGATGTTAATCATGGCATCAATAACTACATAGCTAGATTTCTCTAACCAATTACACTGTGGATCAGTCAATAAGATATAGTCTACAGCTAGTGCAAAGTGTAGCAGCTTGTTTTCTCATTGAGACAGCAAAAACATTATCATATTTCACCTCTTGCCAGCTTGTAATGGGCTGACACCTCAATATCTGGCAGAACAGTTTCACTCTCAAATCTCAGCTAACAGGGGTCTGCTGGAAGTCCTTGGAGCTAGGTTAAAGACTGCAGGTAATGAGGCTATTTTCTGGTGACCGACCTTTGGCTTTAGTATAGCCAATAATGGAGTATCAGGTCTGCCCTAACCTTTGACACCTAAGGGGGGGAAAAAAACTGTTATTCTTCTTTTAATGCATTTTCTAAATAATTCCACCAATTCATCATGATTTCTTTAATCGTTATGCAATTAAAGGAAGGAAAAGCAACTCCAAATTCTTAGCCTGGAAAGAAAAATGGAATTTAAATGGAAAACAAACCTTGATATGGATGGTTCAGGCCACAACTTTTTCTAATATATGTAATAAAAAGCACAGCAAACCAACAACTCCTTGATCTTGACAAATTTGCTTTTATGAGTCATTTTTTAGCTGTTTAGATTCTCCTAATGGAATACAGACACTGCAGGAGAGCTTAGACACTAGTGGTAATAGCTACTGTAATGGAAAGAGTCGGCAGAGCTATGAGAAACCAACATTTCCAGTTAATAGGATACAGATTTGAAGCAAAGAGATGAAGTCAAAAGTTTGGTGAGCACATCCGCCCACAAAGTTCCCCCTCCCTAAAAACATTTTGCAGCTACTTCCAGATAATATGGAGCATAAATGTTGGTTTGTCCAAAGTTGTTTTCTACAAATGATCGTGCTGCTTTTCCTCTAGTTGAGGAAAGGAAGAAGAAAGGAGCTGATGAAGAAATAATGCTATGTTTTTCTGTTTTACCAGGTGGCTAATTTCTTTTTTCTTTGGTTAATTAAAAATAATGCAAAACATCTTTTAAAGTTATTTGATTTCCTTGACACCTCTGCTCACCTGCAGCATGATAAAAGTTGCTGAGGCTTTTAACTAACTTGTCCCTAACATATCTGGATGGTCCTGCAGCTGAACAGTGCGGCATAACCTGCTTCTAATATCCTCCAGATGTTCTGTAGTTAAGAGGATCCTGATGTATTTAAGATGACATACTGACCCCTGATTCCTCTCAAAGCAGGTCGCTAGAGATTTAGTTTTTTTTTCCAAAATGAATATTTTACTTGTGGTCTTTCAATATAAGGAAGTTATGAGACCCAACATGGAAGGGACAGACTGTTCTCTGTGGTTACTCTCCTAAAGAGGGAATATATAATATATGAGAACGTGAATGAAGTGTGACCTACAAAATATTTGGCACTGTTGCTAAAGATGTACAAAAGCTTTAACATATTTGCTTTTGAGACTTTGTGCAGTTCTCCAACAGTAAACTGTAGAGGTGTTTTGTTTTGTTTTCTTTAAACTAACTCAACATTCTAGTTTTAATGAACTCATTGCTAAAGTTGTATATTTTGAAGTCTTTCCCATTTTTATGAGTGACAGAAATAAATCTGTGTTACATTTATACCTAATTGAAACAGGGTCAATGATTATCAATAAGAATTTCCTCTGATTGATAATAAAAAAGAAAGTATGAATAATGCATTTTGGGTTCTTAAAAGGCACAATCGCAGGGAGTTCATGAACTATCTTTTCTTCATTTCAGGGGGTAGGGGGTTTAAAGGTTTACAAAAGTACCCTTATGCCATAAATCTTTTTAAATTTACTTACATACCAACAACAAAATGTGAATTATTTTGTGTGATAGACCAATATAAAGTAAACCAAGAGAGGACAGTCAAAAGGAAAGAATGCAGAGTTTTAAAAATCTTGCATATATTATGTTCTATTCCGTTCTGCTATTTAACAAGCCCCTTTTTAATCTGAAGTCCAAATAAAAACCACTTAGAACCCCTTTCTCTCAGGAGGGCACCAAATTGGTTAAGTCTACTTGTATCAGTATGAATCCAGCTTACAGGCCTGTAAGACGACATTAGAGAACAAACAGCTTTATCACAAGCAGGGAATAGAGGTCCAGCAAGGAAAGCTGACATGTTAATCAGCTATTTATCATCTCAGATGAGAAGAAGGCTATTGTTAAAAAAACAGCTAAAAGTAGATTCACCCAAAGTTTGCATGTAGAGGCTATCCCAGACATGAGAGCACCACGGTGTGATCTAAAAAAAAAAAAAAAGGCTTTTTGGCCTAAATTACAAAATGCAACATTTGTGCAAAGCTAACACAGCTGTCACTCCCTGTGGACACCATTATCCAGTAGGATGTTTACCAAAAATGATGCCAAAGCTACAGGCAAATGATTCAGATATAAGCTTAAATACAAAGTGTCCCAGTCAAAGTATTTACAGGTGAGAATCTGCGGTAAAGCTTTAAATTTAAGCACTCCATTCAGAATGATGGAGCTTTAGATAATTACCAAAAAAAGCATGGGCTACAGTATATTTATTTTTTTTGCTTTTCCAGAGGCACATTGAGCATTTCCCAAAATATATATTTGTAGAAAAAGGTGCTTCAGCAGCCTGATGTAATGTTTCAGGAGGGACGAACATATAAGTACTGCAGACTTTTTGGAGTTTTATTAATAAAAAAAAAAGCAAATTGATAGATCTGTTTAATTCCGTGGACACTCTGTTGAAAAATGTAATTAAGTTTGTGGATAAAGTGTCAAAATGTGAGAATTTAGCTATTGGAATTCTCCAAGTTCTCCAAGAAGCCCTTTGATATAGTTGATAGATATATTACTTTTTACTTAGACCTCAGTGATTAAATGAGTGATTATTTAGCAAAAAACTCATCCTTTTCTGGTTTTGGTTTACCATGAAAGAAGCAGCATCAGCAGTAAGGGACAGGTGCTGTTCTCTCATCAGTAAATCTCCTTTCACTGATGTTTGCTTTCTCTCGTTGTGTCTGCAGTTGTGCGTCATCTTGGAGCCCATGCAGGAGCTCATGTCGAGGCACAAGACCTACAACCTCAGTCCCCGCGACTGTCTCAAGACATGCTTATTCCAGAAATGGCAGAGAATGGTAGCGCCACCAGGTAACTACCTAATTTATGGTGTGTTCTTTCAATAAAACCATAGACATGGTTCCCTCAGCAAAACTCTTCAGTCAGTTTTTCTTTTTCCTTAGAATTTAATAAATAAAAATGAGCCCTAATAGGGCTGAAGTAACCAACATTATAAAAAGCTGGTTCCTTATAAAAAATGGTGAGAGGTAATTGCTCCCTCTACTGAGTTTTGAGTTTATTCTTCCATTTAAACAGCTTTTAATTTCACTCCATCCATCACTGTACAGGAATATTTTCACTCAGAGTACGTATTATTGCATCATTTATGTTTCCAAATTTGCCATCTTAATCCTAGAAATACATTTTTTTTATTTGCCTGTCAGGTATATGAAATCATCAGAATTCAGGGTTGCCTCTTGAATCTCAACCCTGCCAATCTTTAACGGGCCTCTCAGGCGCCCTTGATTGATGTTTGCAGGCTGGTTTCTGAAAAGTACCGAGCTTAAATTGGCTGTGCGGTCTTAAGCCGAAGAGGGAGTAAGCCGAGGCCTTTTTCTTTCTTTCTTTCTTTTTTTTTTTTTGGACACATTGGAGTGGCTGCAAATTACAGCAATGCTTAGCGAGGCGTGACGAGATGTCTTTAAAAACCAACACCAGTCAAAAAGCCTTTGACTCAGACCTGTGTATCTTTAATTAAGAGTGCCGGGTGTAATCAAACTCGCAGATCCAGCTCCCTGGACAGCGGCTCCCCAGTGTCGACGACATTCTTCAAAGAAGAGAAAAAAAACAGTCAGAGATGAAAAAAAAAGAAAGTATTTTATGAATATAATAAAGACTCCTGGCTATACTGATAGTTATTTGTGCTTATGGGAAAAGAGCCAAAGCAGATCTGCAAACCTCTATGCATGCAGTTTTATTTATAAGGTAAAAACAAACAAATTTTATTTTTTAATTTTAAAATTACTCCTGACACTGCTGACCCTCTAAAAAGAGGTTATTTCACTTTATTTATTCGCACGTTGACACATCTGTAACATCATCTTTTCGGTTTAGCTGAAATGAGGGTTTTCCTTATTGGTGGGGTTTTGTTCCACTTTTCCTGTGATTCTTCTCCGGCTCGGAAACAGGTTGGGATTTCAGCAGGAAGGAAGCCACAGGCGCATTTATGCTCTGATAAGTCCTTTTAGTGGAAATGGAAGCAACTTTTGTGCGTCACAGACTCAGCATCGGAGGAAACCAGTGGGATAAAACAAATGATTGTCTCCCACAATAGGAGCGCATTTTTACTTGTTTTTTTTTTTTTAACAAACACGTTTGTCCAATTTTTGAATAAAACAAGATAAGATACAGATAAGAATTCCCTTTTTTGTTTAGGCTCTGATTTGTGGAGCTACTTTTGTTTGTATTGTAAGTCTCTGATTGTTATAACTGAATATGAGAGCATCTCCCTTGGCGTGATTAGAAGGAACCTCAATAAATGTATTCCACTTTTCAGACATCTGTTTGAAGATTGCGGCAGGATTTTTCTGTCTTCTCTTGAGATTAAAAGGAATAATGCTTTCTAACATGTCGGGAGAATTTGCAAAACCTTGTATTCATAAATTATGCACTATGTTCTTTATCAAAAGCAAGTGAACGAGTGAGGGATAAAGCCTGAACTATTTACCTGTGTAACTTTGAAATACTAATTATTTTACTTGTAATGTAATTGCACATTCTACTTAATGTGTGCTGAGTTACCCAGTAATGTTATTAGCATCTGTTTAACAATCCTCTGTTGTCACATCCGATATCCTCCTCTCTGTTTAACAAACTGAGAAAAACAAAACAGATTTTTGCTCCGGTTTCAGCTGGACACCCACAGAACTTCAAAACGGAAATATTTCCCACAAATCACAAAAAAGGTATCTTCTCTCTAACAATGGGAGCTGTCCGAAAGCAGCGTTATGTTTGTTGCTCGCTTGAATGGTCTGAAATACATTTTTATGTGTGAGGTTATCACAGCTGCTCAACTGCCTGTTGACAAATGAAGTGTTGAATGTTTGTGATGATTTGTGTATAACTTGTAGTTAAAGCTGTTTAGGGGGAGTGGTGGCCTAGTGGTTAGGGCTTAGAATCCTGAGGTTGTGAGTTCGAAACCTTCTTCCACAGACCACCACTTTTGCTCTCTGAGCAAAGACCCTTAACCCCTGGTTGCCCCACGATGGCAGCCCACTACTCCCCAAAGGGAATGGGTTAAATGCAGAGGTAAATTTTTCCAATGTGAAATCATTAAAGTTAAACTATTATTATTATTAATAATTGGCAATGAACAATAAAAATAATAGGAGTTGAGCAGTGATTCTACTTATGTTTCTTGCTCTTGTTTTGCTCCTGCTTTAGAATTTGAATCAAATTGAACATCAAGGTCTATAGTTGAGCATTTGTGCTAATAACACAGGGGTTCTTTCTTATAACTGCATGTTTTAGGAGATGTTAACGCTTGTGTGGTTTCACCTCCATAGATAACAGAGCATGCATCCTTGTTTAATAGAGTGTCTTATCTGTGTAGTATGTCTGTGGGGTGTCTGTCTGCATGCTTTGCAGTGTACTAGCACTCCGAACAAGTTTGCATGATCTCACCTACACATTGTACACGCTGCACACACTCCTACACCTTGTCTCCGTCTGTATGCATTATGTTCTTGGCATGGCCTCTGTTTCTCTTTGCTGGTCGCGCCAAAGCTGAGCCTGCCCGACAGACAACGACGAAGAGGAGGAAACGGAAGAACTCAGCCAGCAGCGCCAACAGCAGTGTGGGCACAGCCGCCAGCAAGAAGCGCAGCCCCGCCACCAACTTCAGCCTCTCCAGTCAGGTACCTGTAAGCATCAGCTCCTCTCGGTTTGCCTCTTCTTTTATCTACATACAGCCATTTTGCAGTATTTTTTTTTTTCTTTAAGCATCTCAGAAAGGAGCTTTAATTGGTTTATGTAGCTGCAATTGAATGCTTGCAGGGTTTCACACAAACACCAGGATTACCTAATGGTATTTCAGTTTGTAGGATTTAAGTTATTTTTACAAATGAAAGAAAAGGCTTTAAAACTGTAAAGAAAATGAGTTAAGAGAGGAAATGAAATGAAACAAAATAGAAACGTCCAAAGCAGGAACAGGTTTTATTGAAAGGTTGCAACATTTAGGTTGCATCGTGACTAACCATTACAGATGCCTCCTAAATGTTCTCAGAAAAGCCTTCTCAGAATGTTTATTCAGACAGACCAATCAGCATTGAGACCCTGTTGCTCATCCAAGTGACCGAAGCCTTGGGCTTTAAAGAAAATAAAGAAAATCTCTGAGTCAATAGAAAAATGTGGGTGGTGAAAATAATGCTTTGCCCTCTCACAGCCACCATACTGACCAGGCCCTTGAGCAAGACACTGATCTCACCATCCCCTCACTTTTACTCAAATATTGGCGACAAGCCTGCCAACTGAAAACAAAAACATTTTATGATCATCTTTAAGCTTACAGTTTTTAAGCCTTTTCTGTCAGAAATGCAAAGAATTGTAAATCTGTAAATGTACTTTTCATCAGGACTATTAAATATTAAAGAAATGGGAAAATGTGTTTCAGAAAAGTGTTAAAAAGTGAATGCAGGTTACTATCATTACGTGGCATAAAAGTATTCAGTTTTTCATTTTCGTTCGGATAAACAAATAGAAAAATCTATTTACATCTCCATTATAAAACATCTCATACACAAAGGCAGTCAATGCACTTTGAATATAGGTAAATCAGATTTAAGACATTAAATGCATAAAAAAAATCATGTTACTTTAGCAAAATTACGCATTCAAGATGTTCATGTTTCTCTAAAACTGAGGTTAAGAGATTACCTCCTTTACAATCCAAA